CGAACCCAGGAGAGAGGTGGTGGGTGCTCTGGGAGGAACGGTTGGAGAAAGGACTGGAGGGAGGCAACATGTCTGGCCTGGCAGTAATAGGCCTTGGGTTACTGCTGGTAACCCTGTCTTCCCTTTGTGGAATTAGAGGAGGTCGGAACATGTGGCCTCCTTGTCATTTTTGCATGTTGATAAATAAAATTATATTGTATTCTTATTACTAAGGGCTTTGGATAAGTTACATATTTGTGCTTTTCCAATTTAGTAGCACAATTTTAAGCATGATTTTTACTTTAATTTCTACATGACTTTTTTCCTGTTTTGTAATATAAGACCTGTAAACCTCTCTTCAATCTTATTTCTCCTTTATTTTTGCATTATTTATTTCTATTAGCTAAATTCTATAAGAAGTTGTCTTTCTATTCTTTTTTTTCCCACTCATTCATAATTTTCTATTTTATAGCAGGAAATTATACATGGTAAAGTGTAAATAACATTTCCTCACACTGTGGCCCATTCAACTTTCACCATCACCTTATCACAACTTAATAGTAACTTTTCTACTCTTTGATTGGTTTTAATTTCCTATGAAAAGATTTATGCAGTGGTTGAGTTCCACATAATAAATGGTGGAAGTTTGGTCATCATAATACATAACAGTCACAATAATCATATTGATAATCTGTTAAAGAATTATCTTTAGGAAATCAATGTTAGCCTCCATGGATCATTGGCAGGCTCAATGGAGGGTGTGAGCTGAAGAAACAGGGGTCCTATTTCTTAAATACTAGTATATTTACTCAAGATAACATCTAAAAAGTGAAGAATTTGGACTGCTCCTAAACTTGAGAATGTTTTCAAATACAAGTGCTGACAGGAATGTAGTCTTGCTTTTATTCTAATATAGGTTTTCTGAATTTTTCTTGAGTTTCTTTGTTTAAATCTTTTTTAAACATTTTAAAATTATTTGCTGGCACAAAATTGGATGATATTATGTCTCTTAGTTTCTCATACGTATAATAAGTACAATCACTGTTTTAATTTGAGACAGAGAAAAATATGAATAAAATTAAACTTTTCTATAAATAAAAATTAAAGTTAAAATGCAAATGGCCCCTCCTTTATAGCAAATGTTTTTTAGTCACCTTTTATCTACCCTTGACCTCAGGCCCCACATTCCCAGCAAAAATATGCAGAGGTGTGAGTGTGTGCATAAAAACACTTCTATACACCCCTGCCTCAAACTTATGACCAATGCCTGCCCAAAAGTGGACATTTAACACATATTTGATTGCATGGAGAAAGAAGTGGAAATCACTGTGCATGGTTCTGAATTGCCATGTATCTAAATCAGGAGAATGAGAGAAAAATGAGTATAATGGAATCTGCTCTTTTAACAACTGGAATCAAAAGTGACAAGTCTTGTTGGAGATATTTTATCCATTATGTATGACTGTAATACAAAGCTCTTCAGTTTTTTTTTTTTTTTTTTGTCCAAACTCCTATAATTACTTTCTTCTGTTAATGGGGCTCTGTCTCTCACATTTGTATTCTTTAACTTTCTGTGTTCTGGCCCATCACTGGCCCATCATCCTATAGTTGTTATAGAATTGAAAACATTCACTGAAAGAAATAAATTATAGCTGCATTGCTTACATATTAAAATATAAGTAGTGAATGCATCAAATAACTGCACACAATTTTGTTGTTAACCATTATTCATTATAAGCACACTGGAAGTTAAAAACAGAAATAAGTATGGATAAGAAGTATTAGAGAAATTTATACTTACCATAAAAATAGGTGAGAGAAACAGAAAATACATGATATATTTTTTCTCCATCATTAAAGCCAAATTGAAATATGATATATAACTCAAACTGCAAGAGATAGTGAAAGAAAGATAATTCATCAATATTTATGAAATAAATATAGGTGGCTCTGTACAGAACATTTCTTTTGAAATTACATGATAATTTTACATTAAGGATTTGATTAGTAGTCATAAGCATAAGAAATGATAGGCATCATGGTTTAGAGTACTAAAGACCTTAATTTAATAAATTTTAATCTAATTTAACTAATCTTACACAGAAGAAAACTTCTTACATATACACTTTTAAGTAATGAGAAAGCATCTTTCTTTATTTACCTTTACCAAAATAGAATTAAATAATTAAAATAGCAAAATAAAGATTTCTATAAAAACACAAATTTTGATAGCATTTTATTATAAAACTTGTCACTATGACCTAAAAGTATTAATCTGGTTTTAATCTTCTGACTGCTTAGTAAGTTAAGGGGTAAATTGTCCTCAGGTGTATTTCTTGAGAACCAACATTCATACATAAAAATGTATGAATAGAGTAATTTAATAGAAATTGTCCTTCACTACAAGAACTCAAAGAGCTCTGGTGGCTCAGTGTCTAAGGCATTTGACTGCTAACCAGAAGTTTGGTGGTTCAAACACACCAGGTGCTCCGAGAAAAGAATCTACTTCCCTAAAGATTTACTGCCTTGGAAACCTAATGGAGGTCTCTATGAGTGGGAATCAACTCTATGGCAGTGATTTTTTTTAATAGTAAATCAAAGTATTTTTTTTAATAAATCAGGTTATGAAAGATTCCCTAAGTCATCTACATTATTATAATGAGATTTCAGTATATGAAAAATATAAAAAAATATTTGTGTTTAAAAATTTCTGGTATGAGATACATACAGTTTTGAGCTAATGAAAAGTGGCCTCCAAGTGATAATACTCACTAGCTTCTTAATTGTAAAAGACAAAAATTGCTGATGTTTACTGCCTATTAGGTCCATTACTTTAACATTTATGAGATATGAACTGTCATGGAATAGCCTTAAATACATAATTCACATTTAAGTGAAAGTGTAACAATTTTTTTTCAAAGGAGAAAAAAATTCCAATCAATAAATATTTGCCATAAAACTATAAGAACCAAAAATACCCATTGCCTTGAGTCAATTCCAATTCACAGTGACACGATAGGACAGAGTATAACCGTCCCATAGAGTTTCCGAGGCTGCAAATCATCATGGAAGCTGCATCTTTCTTCCTCAGAGAGGCTGCTGGGTTTGAATCACTGACCTTTTGGTTAGTTAGCAGCCAAGTGCCTTAACCACCACGTCATGAACCTACATTTAAATCTGTTTAAAAAATCTCTTATTTTTGTTAAAGAGCTAAAGTTAGAGTAAGAAATTAAACACTTGTTTCATATGGTGTACTTATTGATTTTATTACCACATTACAATGACAGCACACAGAATTTCTCCCTGTGCTTGCCCTCATCAATAACTCACCTAGAAGTAGTTTTTCTTTGTAATTCTACAAACTTCTGAACTATGTTTCCTCTTCTATCCACAGTATTCAGTTTTTCTTAAGTGACCTTAGGAAAAATGTAATCAAGAAATCAGGAAGCATTGTATAAATTTTAAATACAACTGATAATGCAGCATTGGAATAGGAGAAAAACAATGAATCACAGTTTCTGCATTCAGTAATTAATGAGCTGATATTTTATTTTATATTACATTTTACCATGAGAAAAATCTAATTTTCCAATACTTACATGCACAATTGTCTCTAGACTCAAATCACATTTTCTCTTGGATCATATTTGACAATGTCTTGAAGAATTTCTTCAATCCAGAGGTCATAACCTGAAATATTGATTAATGTAATAATTTAGCATTATTTTAATGAGTCAAAATTATTTTCAGGATGAGTTGGAAACTTCAGGGTAAACACATCTACCAAAATGATATTTTTCTTAAGACATTACAATTAAAAAAATACTTTGTTTATGATATATTTGAATTACTATATATTAGCGTATTCACTGGGAGCTCTAGTGGTGTAGTGCCTAAGGCATTTGACTGCTAACTAGAAGGCTGGTGGTTGAACTGACCAGACACTCCTCAGAAGGAAGACTGGGCAATCTACTTCTGTCAAGATACCACCTTTGAAACCCAAGGAGGGGTCGCTATGAGTTGGGGCTGACTTGGCAGCAGTGAGTTTGGTTTTTTGTTTTGGTAGTTTATTCATTATACATAATGCTTCAGTAGGAGTCATAGATATACAAGAGAGCAAAATTGTTTTAGAAATATATTTTCAAAGATTACAGATTTTAAAAGAGTGATTATGTTGTTTGCACACAAAAAATTTTCGAGTTCTAAACATATTTGTTTTTCCATTTCTCATAGAAATCTCTGAAATATTTGTTAGGCATTTTATGGAAACATAATTTAGGTATTATATATAAGCTTATTTTATCTAGTCTATATAATTATGGAGGAGTTCTGGTGACGTAGTGCTTAAGGCATCTGACTGCTAACCAGGAGGCTGGCAGTTCAAACCCACCAGCCACTTCTTGGAAGGAAGATTGGGCAATCTACTTCCATAGAGATACCACCTTGGAAACCCAGATCCAACTCTAGGGCAGTGAGTTTGGTTTTTTGGTTTGGTATAAAATTATGGAGTCCCTGGGTAATGCAAACTGGTAATGCACTCAGCTGCTAGATGAAGTTTGGAGTCAACCCAGATATACCTTGTAAGAGAGGCCTGGTGATCTACTTCTGAAAAATCTGCCATTGAAACCCCATGGAACGTAGCTCCCTGAGAATATCCATGAATCAGAGTGGGCAGGATGGCAACTGGTTATATAATTTTAGAATAATTCTAGATCAAACCATACATTTGTTTTTCTAATTTCCATGGATCTTTAATTATTATCCTCTATGAATAGAAAGAAGGCTGTCTGGTGGCACTGTGGTAAGGCATTTGGCTGCTAACCAAAAAGTCAGTGGCTCAAACACATAAGCTGCTCCATGGGAGAAAGATGAGGCAGTCTGCTTCTGTAAAGATTTACAGCCTTGGAAACCCTATGGGGGCAATTTATTCTACCCCAGAGGTTTGCTATGAGTCAGAATACTCCATGGCAGTAGGTTTTTTTTTTTTTTTTTAATGAATAGAAAAGGAGGACCCCCCTAGTGCAGTGGTTAAGTGTTAGGCTGCCACTTCTCGGAAGGAAGATTAGGCAATCTACTTCCATAGTGTTACCACCTCAGAAACCCAAGGAGGGTCTGCTATGAGTGGGGGCTGACTCCACGGTAGTGCGTTTGATTTTGGTTTTGGTTTGCCAACCAGTGATCAGTAGTTGGAATGCACCAGTTCAGTTGCTCTATGGGAGGAAAATGTTGTGGCATTCTGCTTCTGTAAAGATTTCTGCCTGTTGTTAGGTGTTCTCAAGTCGTTTTTGACTCATAGTAATCCTATGTACAACAGAATGAAACACTGCCCATCATAAGCCTCACAATCATTGCTGTATTTGAGCCCTTTGTTGCAGCCACTGTATCAATCTATCTCATTGGTTGGATTCCTCTCTTTCATGTACTCTCTACTTTACCAGGTGGGGGTCTTTCTCCAGGGATTTCTCCCTTCTGATAACATGCCCATCGTATGTGACACAAAGTCTTGCCATTCTTGCTTCTAAGAAACTTTCTGGCTGTCCTTCTTCCAACATAGAATTTGTTCACTCTTCTGGCAGTCCAAGGTATATTCAATATTATCCAAAACCATAATTAAAATGAATCGATTCTTCTTTGGTCTTCCTTATTCATTGTCCAGATTTTGCATGCATGCAAGAAGATTGAACATATCATGGCTTATGTCAGGTACACGTTAGTACTCAGACATCTTTGCTTCTTAACACTTTATAGAACTCTTTTACAGAAAATTTGTCCAGTGTAACATGCATTTGATTTCTTGACTGCTGCTTCAGTGGACATTGGTTGTAGATACAATTAAAATGAAATCCTTGACAAATTCAGTATTTTCTCTGTTTATTATGAAGTTTCTTATTGGTCCACTTGTGAGGATTTTTGTTTTCTTTATGTCGAAGTGTAATCCATACTGAAGACTGTAGTCTTTGCTCTTCATTATAAATGCTTCAAGTCTTCCTTGCTTTCAGTAAGCAAGGTTGTGTCATCTGCATATTGCAGGTTGTTAATGAGTCTTCCTCATTAATGAATGGTGCATTCTTTTTCATATATTCTATCTTCTCAGATTATGTACTTAACATACAAAATAAGTATGGTGAAATGGTACAACCCTGATGCACACCTTTCCTGATGTTAAACCATGCAGTATCCTCAGATAATATTTGTAGCCTTAGAATCCCTATGGAACAGTTCTACTTTATTCTATAGGGTCACTATGAGTCAGAATTAGACAGCAATGTGTAATGGATTATAAGTAGAAAGAAAAAAAAATAAGAATTTAACCAGAAGGATAGCAGTTCAAACCCACCAGCCACTCCTCAGAAGGAAGATGGGGCAATCTACTTCCGTAGTGATACTGCCTCGGAAACCCAAGGAGGGGTCGCTATGAGTCGGGGACCACTCAACAGCACATAACAACAACATTATAAGAAAAGCTAGAAATATTGCATGCCATTTAAGTTCATCAACACTTTTTTTCAGGTATATATATTATAATATATTGTTGTGATTCTGTTAGAAATATTTTTGGTTTTATGTTAAATAGAGAAAATCACTATCCACAATTTTTCCTTTATCTAGGACGTTTGTGAAATTAGAATTTTTCACTAAATATTTTAAGTAAATTTTAAAGAACTAAGAAGCAATAAAATCATTTAAAATTATAGTCTTTGAACAGCTATTGTTATCTGATCATTTATTGGAATATATTATTATTTATGTATATTTGTTTCCTTAGCTGATATAATTTCTCAAAGATAGACTATATCTGATTGATTGATCTTTCCATCCTTCATGACTTGCAGTTAATAAATGTTTGCTGTATCTGAACAAATAAATGAAAAAATGTATCATCTAACTTCTTTCAGATCTTAAAGTTACAATCAAGAACACTAATCATAACTGTTAATTAACTGTCATTTCCTTTATTATAAGTTTTTAGAGTATTTGAATCTGCACTAACAATTAATATTGAAAAAAAAGGAAAACTCATGTCAGCATATTTACTTTCTTACCAAATAAAGACTCTTTCTGTTCTGTAATTTTTGGATGTTGAATAAACACCCAACAATTATTGAATTTAAGACCATTTCAAAATATTGGTAGTTCATATTTAAAATATTAGCTCATAAATTTCTGTATTAAAGTATAAATTTCAATACCCAAATAAGAATGTAAAGATGTAAAGGAGCACTAGTGTATTTGGAGATCAGACAGGCTTTACAAAGTAATACTTGTATGACTTACAAATGAGTCAAGATTAAAGTAACTTTAGCATGTATCTGAGCTCAAAAAAATGAAGGGAAAAATGCTTCAATACGGATTTGGAGTTTTCCCAAACCCAACCTATTTTAGAAATATTTCACTTAACACTAGTAATTATTTTTGTTGTTTCTCTAATATGCTTGAAAATCAGAGTGACAAAAATATCTTATAAAATATCTTTTAATGGTTAGTGCCTAAGGCATTTGACTGCTATCCAGAAGGTTGGTGGTTCAAACCCACCAGCCACTCCTCAGAAGGAAGGATGGTCAATCTACTTCCCTAGTGATACCGCCTTGGGAACCCAAGGAGGGATCACTATGAGTCTGATCCAACTTGACAGCACATAACAACAACAACAACAAATCTGGGAGCGATAATTTAAGATGTTTATTAACTCACAAAATATTTATCAATATAAATCAGTTCACTTTTTTCGCTTTCCGTCTCCACCCCATTTCCTGGTAATCTGGACAATGTGCTATTTGGAGCAAGGTTGTATTTTGTCTGCATCCTTTTGTTAAAACATATCTATGGGTATTTGATTATCAATCTTGGAGCCTTTCTTTCCACCAATGCCTTCAGTGCAGCTTGGACTTCTTCCTTTAATATCATCAATTCTTAATCATATGCTAGCTCCTAAAATGGTTACACCAAAAATTCTTTTTGGTACAATGGCTCTGTGTATTCCCTCCACCTTCTTCTGATGCTTCCTGCATCATTCAATATTTTGCACATAGAATTCTTCAATATTGCAACTCAAAGCCTGAATTTTTCTTCATTTCTTTCAGCTTGAGAAATGCTGAGTGTGTTCTTGCCTTTTGATTTTCTCACTCCAAGTCTTTGCACATTTCATTATAATATTATTACATATTATAATATTTTACTTCTTAAGCTGTCCTTTGGAATCTTCTGGTTAGCTCTTTTACATCATCATGTCTTCTATTCACTTTAGCTACACCATTCAAAAGCAAGTTTCAGAGTCTTTTCTGACATCCATTTTGGCCGTTTCCTTCTCTTCTGTCCTTTTAAAGAACTTTTGCTTTCTTCATGTATGATGTCCTTGATGTCATCCCACAACTCATCTAGTCTTCAATCATTGGTGTTCAAAGGGTCAAATCTATTTTTTCAGATGGTGTCTACACTCAGGTAGAGTATACTTAAGGACATATTTTGGCTCATGGGCTTGTTTTAATTTTTTTCAGCTTCAAGTTAAAATGATGCACAGTTGGCCCCTGGCCTTGTTCTGACTGATAATATTGAGCTTCTCCATTGTCCTTTTCCACAGATATAATTGATATGATTCCTGTGTATTCCATTTGTTGACGTCCATGTGTATAGTTGCTGGGTATGTTGTTGAAGAATGGTATTTGCAATGAATATGTCACTGGTCTTGTAAA